ACACGGTGTCCCTTCATCTGAAACAATGCAGCGTTGTCTAAAGTGGGGCATCTGTCAATGGCTCAACAGCGTACATTCCATCTTTTGCTGATCACATGAACTGAGGTTTGCAAGGTAAACATGCACTCTGGAATATCACCAAAACAGACATATTTCCTCAGTCACTAATTATATAAAAAAAGTATTTAGCATTGCAGAAACCTACAGCACTAATAACAACAGAAACAGGGCCGGCCCTAGGCAATTTGGTGCTCTAGGCAGGATTTCATGTGGTGTCTCTTGTGCAATTTTCTAAATATCACTACCAATTTACAAACCAAACTAAATAATTTTGTCTTTGATATTTTTTTTATTAGAAAAGCAGGTTGTCCCATTAAAATTGTTAACATGAAAATTAATTTGAAACAGAATACAAGAAGTCTCCCTCATAGCTGCCAACATACACTGACAGTAATGAGGATGATACCTGTTGTTAACCAGCAGCTGTGGAGTGAAGCAGTTCTAGGGGGTCCAGGGATATACTCCATTAGAAAATTTTGTGAAAGATCTACTCAAAATTATGCATTTTCCAGCCATTTGAAAAGCATCTTCTTAAATTCTTGAGTTGAATATAATCACATAAATCAGTATTTTATGAGGAAGAATACTGAAAACTGGAAAATGGATTGTACTTATGTAGCACCTTTCTATCCAACCAGGACACTCAAAGCRCTTCACACTACAATCTGTGCCCTTATTTACCCATTCACCAGCACTCCACTAGCCTGGTTAAAACCAGACCCTGTCCTTCACTTTGCTTCATACAAGGGTCTGGACTTAATTCATAGTGAAGTGATTCTTGAAGGAGGCGTGGCCTCTGCTGAAGTTTAAAATGATTGGATCAGTTGGCACGATGTATGTCACTGTGACGGAGGCTAAGCTAAGAAGCTAACCGGAAATTGCGTGTGCTGTAAACAACCCTACTGAGAGGAGAAAAGTACCGAGCCAAATGAGATGACTTTAAATGAGAGCTGCTGCTTTGTCAGACAAATTTATTTTAATTTGGAAGTCTTATCAACACAGACTGGCTTCATTCACTTCCTCCACTGCCGTATGCTAAAATAACTAGCCAACACTGCGCAGAACATCGACGTCATTCAAAACTCCTCCTTCTGTTTGCTGATTGGCCCAGGTAAAATAAACTACWAGCAGAAACTGCGCAGAAAATTGACGTTCTGTTCTCTGATTGGCCCGGCCAAAAATCTGCCAGCGAAATCTATCTCAATGGGAGAAGTCCCAGATGGAGCAGAGAAGGGAAACTAGAATTGAGTGGAGCTGCGTAGGAAGGCAAGGGCCAGGCTAGCACTCCACTAGATCTTCTACAAAGCTAACATGTACAAATCATCTATGGAGACTAACCAGTGCCAATCACATTCTTATACTGATGGTACACATCAGAGGCATTGGGGGTAAAGTGTCTTGCCCAAGGACACAGCAACTGAGACAGCTGGAACAGGTGATCGAACCGGCGACCTACCAGTTCCAGAAGGACCCCAGACAAGCTGGCCCGAGTTGCTGGGGAGAAGGAAGTCTGGGTCTCTCTGCTTAGGCTGCTACCCATGCGACCCAACCCCAGATAAGCGGAAGAAAACGGACAAACAAATGCTGAAAACCAGATTTTAACCTGAACTTTATCTGAGATCACAACTGAAACTTCCATTACTCTTTTTTTCTATTTAAACACCGAGCACCAGTAGTTAGTCTTGACTGCTACTTTCCAAAACCTGAGTAATCAGTGATTATTCTACAGATTTATCAACACGTTGATAAAAAGTTATAAAAAAAATCACCCTCTAATCATGGTGCCTCGATATGCCTCAGGCCAGCCCTGAACAGAAATATCCTTAAAGTGTTTTGCACGTTAATTAGCCAGTTACATTTACAAGTTAAAATAAAAATAGTGACATTTAGCTGGAAAGACAAAATGAAACAACATCACACAAAGAAGCAGTTTCAGTCCCTTCATTGTGTGATGCCRTTTCATTTGTTTGCTACAGTTTTAGTTAAGTGATAACATTCACATTCTCTGTGTTTCAACATTGTGATATTGTGCAAAATGCAACAGAGGAACTAGTGCCAAAATACCCAGACACGTGGTGGGAGACAAGATCACAAACACACTCAGACACACAGTGACAGTGCCATCTAGAGAAACACATCCTAGTTTACAGGTTTGTATTATTTTTTGTCCCATCAAATCATGACCAAAACACCAGTTTAAGATGTGCAGGTTATTTGCAGGAACAATTGTGGCCAATTTCGAATTGCAAGTCAAGCCCACCCGGCCTATCTCTGTGAATATCGCCTCAAAACAAAACAAACACCGATAATGGAGGTCAAGCAGATTGAGGCAATTTGTCCACTTTGTCACATAAATATTTGAATGGTATTTGAGATATGCAAAAACTGCCCATTGAGAGCACACAAAGGACCCATTCAAGTGGGGTCACTGTAAATGTTACACAGGCTAAGAGTGGGAAGCATCCAACTGTTATGGCCTGGAAAAGTGCATAACAGAAAACACAGTGGGGCCAAGTCTTCCAGTCTATTTAACTGGTGGACAATCAGGATCTGTGCAACAAATCTACTCAACCATCAGCGTTATTGTAACACAACCATGAGGCCTTGAGATAAAGAGAAACCTCTGGTATAATAAACGAACAGTGCTTGATAAAATTAGTGTCCATAAAGAAGTATGAACTGCTGTTTATGGTCCACTCTTTGGTTTCAGAGGGGCAACAAAGGACAGCTTTTATTCCGTTCCCTGAATGCAAGCCAGTTTGCTTTGTGCTTGTGAGGGAGGAAACATCCATGAGACATAACTTTCCAGTATCTAAACGAGCACTCATTCGGTGATGCTTGAATTTGCCTGTTTTTCCTCTTATTTTATTTCATTATGTRGGCGGATATTTTTGAATGAGTCTCTTTATCTCACTTTATGAGCACAGTGGATGTGAGTGGGCTCTCAGAAGGCAGCGACCAAAACACGTATCATTGTAAACGAAGACAGCCTTGTTGCCTCTGGGGACGAGGAGAAAACACTGATCAGCTTTATTCTATTCTGGGCCTTGTGATTTCTGCATCTTGAACTTGGACACGGTGTTTCGACTTCACGCACTCGAATTCTTTCAGATGGCTTCGCCTGAAACAGTCTGCCTCGCCGTAACTCCTCGTCTGTTAACTCAAGTGAGCAGCTGTGCCCTGGGATTGCCTGCGTGTCGGGAAACAGCTGTGGGGATTCAAAATACCTTAACTGATTCCACATTCTGCCCAAAGCAGAGCCAGCCATGTGAGCTCATGGTTTTAGGTGTGTCCAATTAGCTGGGCCAACTCGAAGAGGAGCTCTGTTAGAAGAGGGAACACATACGCTCTTCTTCGCTGAACAATTAGATTGTTGTTCTAAACATTTGTCAGCGCTTCATTAACAAAGCAATTAAGAAGCAGAGCGTTGTTTTCCTGTTCATTAAGATTAAGGACATTCTCATGGGTTTGTGTGCTAGTATGTGGACAAATGAAAGCTTTGATGAGGTCACATAAAATCTATACATATGGATGCATTTGAGGGGGAAAAGGGGAAGCAGTGCGTTTTTAGTCACCTCTCCCACCACCAAAAAAAGAAACCGCAATTAACACAGAGAACATATGGAAGAATGGTTCACTTCACCAAATTTTACTGAAACCGCAGAGACATTTAGTTACTCCCTATTCTGCCAAGACGTGCGCCTGTGATCTCAGAAAATAAGAACACAAAACACCACGAGGGTGCTGTTATTTTTATTTATTTTCATTTTACTCAAGCATATCTAATTTCCCTAAATCCTTTTATTGTAAAAAGTGAAGTAACAGTGATGCAGGGCAGAGTAGGAAACTTTGCACATCTTTCATGGAGAGCTGGCTTCAACATGACTGTATGCTCAAAGTCTCCATCGCTTCAAATTTAAAATTCTCAACATCTCGACAGATTGCTTGCGATTGCCAAAAAAAAAAAGACTGAAAATATAAAAAAAGGCCATGGAAACTCACTTTCTTCTTTTAATGATTCCAACCGCTGGAATACAAGCGGTTGACATCATTTCAGACTCTATATGGACCAAAAAAAAAAAACTAATGGGAAATTCCATCAAGTCACACACACACACACACACACACACACACTCCACACACTCGCGCGCACACACACACACACACACACACACACACACTCCACACACTCGCGCGCACACACACACACACACACACACACACACACGCGAC